AGGGAGGTGTCAATCTCATCCTCTTGTTTCCCCCCACGCGGTTCTGGTGAGCTAAGAAAATGTTTATCTCCCTGCGCTTGGCCTTCATAGTTCCATTCCATCACACCTGCTTAGCTTCTCTACCAAGACAAAATTGGCCGGATGCTGCCCCTTACAGGCCTGCTGTTTCTGATCTTCTTTGCCTGTTAGCCTCTCATCTAGCATTCTCACTTTCTCCCCTCTGCAGCCTTCCTTGGGGGTCGCCGTTTCCAATCATGCACTGCTGTTTGTGATCTTGGGCCCTGTGGGCCCTTATTTTACCACTGGCAGCTTCAGTCCTGTTTCCCTCCTGGCTGATCCTCGGTTTGTCCGTGCTTGGAAGGGTGGCGTTGGCTATTGCAAAGTAGGCGGGTAAGTCTAGGGCTTCTGTTTTAACCTAAGTGGCTGAATGAAGCTGCTTTGGGCTGGGCGGTTTAACTCAGACTTCCCTAAACCGGACATTTTCCAGATGGGTGAACTTCAGCTCCTAGAATTCTTGGCAATGCCTAGGGAATTCTGGGATTTGTAGTACACAGTTCTGGAAGGCATGTTGGTAGAGCAAGGCTACTTTAGCCCAACCTATTTTGTAGGGATGGGACATTTTCCTGCAGTCAGGAGTTGGACTTTTTCTCTTTTTAAATTTTGTTTAAGCCTCTGAGGACTGTGGGAAGTTGTGATATGATGACACTGGAGAGGATGGGGTCACAACTGAGTACGCATCTTATTCAAAACACAGTTGTTTCCCTAACCCTAGCAGAAGCATAGTATATACTTTAGCTTATTTTATTTTTTTTCAACGGGGGAAAATGTTCATCCCTGAAAATTGCCAATTTGTCAACAGATTTCAGTCTTATAGGGCCCTGGATGCTGTTAAAAAAAAGAGGATTGCCGCAGGCAGACTATAGGTGTTCCACCCCAGCTTTAACACTTAAAAAAGCATTTGGAAAAGAGGTTTTCCAAATATGCAGGAACAGAGTAATGAGGCCTTGACTGGAGGAAAGGATCTGGGGAGAAGAAGAGTTTGGGGGAGTACTCAGTGCTCAACAGGGCAGTTAGCGAAACCTTATTGGCTGCCTCTTTTCAACAAGGCAGAGGCCCTTGTTTTAATTGGAGATGTGCTTTATTATACATCCGTTGCCCCTTCCCTCTTTCCCTTCTAGTCTTTCAGGCTGGCCTTGCATCCATTTTGCCTTTTTATCTGATCAGAGTCTTGCCCTGCTCTTGTGTCACCCTTAGCAACTATGGCCCCACCATATATGTGCAAACAGAGGCTGCCAAACTGGGTTGTCAGCAGGTTTTGTGGCTCTATGGAGACGACCACCAAATCACTGAAGTTGGGACCATGAACATTTTCATGTTTTGGAAGGACCACCAGGGAGGTAAGGAATTTTATCTCTGAGGGATAGTGGGTCCAGGTGGGTTCTTCTGTGCTTTTGGGCTTTGATGGGACCATGGTGCTGTTGCAGGGCTGAATCAATCAGAACATTGATTAAATATCAGTGCCTTGATCCTAAGATAAATTACTGTTAGGAAATTCCTTCACTTACCCAACAAACCTTGTCTTAGCTTCCTGTCCAAAATTGTTCAGTCTCTTCTTCTCATCTCCTGAATATATTTATTTGGGGGTAGTGCACAGGCACAGGCGTCCGTTCCTAACTACGATGATGCCAGTGTGATGAAATGGTTGTCACCAAAACATACACCACCAAAGGTCTGTCCTTTCATATTTGCATTGTGCTGTTGCATGCAAGGGGCGAAGTTTGTGTTATGATGTGTATTTTTCACTTGCCACTCTCCTGCAGGCATCCACCATTGCAGGAAGGAGGAGAGGGAGAGGAGGCAATGTCGGTGAATTTTTAAAAAATACCTTGGAATCCAAGCTATGCATTCTCTGGATTTGTGGGTTTCAAAAATCATTAAATTAAAATCCAGTGCAAGTACATATTGAAAATGACAAGTGGCAAGCAATGTTATTTTTTTGTGTCATAGAGAAAGGGATGTCACTTCTTAACATGACATTAATGGCACCAGGAGGCTTCAGGAAGAATATGAGTTTTTTCTTTGGTCCTGTTTGTTTCTCAGATGAAAATGTATGCAGATTAAAACTGATTAATCAAGAAAAACAGGCCCATTAGTCAAATGGGATTCCTTAGCCCTAGATGCATGCTTGCTTGCTTGCTTTATTTATTCATGCCTATGCTGAAATTTTAAATAATTTAAAAAAAAATTATGTAAGTATTGCCGTATTACATGTTCCAAAAAATTAAACTTCTTGAAAGTTTGACAGAATGTATATTAAATATTATCTCATTGTCATTTATGAAAATAATACACATATATTTTTGGTTGCTTTTCTCTCACTGAATGTGGCTAGTGGTTGGATCCAGGCTTAGTTAAGTGTAGAACTGACACGTTGAAATCAATGGAATTTATCCACGGCAACTTTGTGCCATTTAGTTTGATAAATAAACTCCAAATAGGACTAAGTTTACATACAATTCAGCTTTCTAAAGAGTCTGTCAGACATGATTTAATTATAATTACATTCTCTTCCCTCAGATTGTTCTGTCTTTTTGGATTTCAGAAATGTTTCTGCACTGTGACATACAACCAGCCTTGAATATGTATAACTGTAATGTCCATTTTCAGATATGGAGCTGGTCACCCCTCCGCTTAATGGAATTATCTTGCCTGGTGTGATCCGGCAAAGCCTTCTTGATTTGGCCCGCAAATGGGTGAGCGTTCAGTACGCAGAAGCATGGGGTAGCTCTGCCACTGATCCCACTGTGGGTGGGGAGTTTGCAACCCCCTTATTGTAACTGGTGCTTTTTTCTTTTGTAACATTTCTCTTTTTGTATTCATTCTTGCACTCAAGAATGAACTGAGAGTTGGGATGGGAGAGAACAACTTGGTGGCTAAAAATGAGGGTGTTGATGTCATATCCCAGGTTAAGAAGATGATCACACTCCACATTTTGGTGGGGTGACTTAGGACCATAGTAATGGGCAATGTTGTAAAGGGAGTAGGGCTGGGATTGTCCATTTCCACTTCCTCCGTCATAAGTGCGAGCTGGTTGCCAAGCGCCCAGATCGCAATCATATGACCGCGGGGCACTGCGAAGGTCATAACTTCGGGTGCCAGTCATAAGTCACTTTTTAGTGCTGCCATAACTTTGAATGGTCACTAAATGAATGGTCGTTAAGCAAGGACTACCTGTAGTGGCTGCACCTGTGCAATTGAAGTGCTGCCCACTTTTAGCATGCAAAAAAGGCTGGGACTTTGATCGCAGAGTCACCGCTGCCTTCTTCCCCCTCCCCCCACTGATGCTTCTAGTGGGATGGGTTTTTTCCCCTTACCTTTTTGTATTGTTGAATAACAATAACAATACTAATAATTTATTAAACTGATTGTGGGCCTTACAGGGTAATTTTCAAATGTTTTCAACACGGTAGGAAGCTTTACTATGGATTTTCAACCTTCTTGCCACCGAAATTGGCAGTGTAAGATGAGGAGACTCCAGGAGCCACTGGTCCCTAGTCTTCCTTGACTGGCAGTGAATCCCCGAGATTTTAGACAGTCTTTCTGTCTCTTTGGAGACAGAATGGCTGGACTCTGAGGTCTTTCACATGCCGTGCCTATGCAGTGCAACCAAGAAGTGGTCTTGAAATAGATGGACTGGACTCCAAATCCAGTCCTGTTGCATTTTAAAAAATAGCAGAGAGCAGGATTTAAACACCTTTGTCTCTCTTTCCACCCAGGGGGAATTCAAGGTTTCAGAGAGAATAATCACAATGTCTGACCTGATTAAAGGCTTGGAAGAGAAAAGGGTGAAGGAGGTCTTTGGTTCGGGCACAGCCTGCGTTGTGTGTCCTGTGGACAGAATTCTCTATCAGGGCAAGGTGAGAGTCCTGGAACGCTCCCAGTGTGGCCTTTCTGGTCTCCCTACACCTATTTTGTCCTTCTGGATGCATACTGGGTTTCTGTCTCTCTTGGAACAGAATTATCATATCCCCACAATGGAGAACGGACCTGAGATGGCAAAACGATTTCTGAAGGAGCTGACAGATATTCAGGTAAAACTCTCCGGAGCAGGCAGAAAACTTAACAAATCTGGCAGGTTGTTTTTGCTTGGTTTTTCACGTTTCCAGTTTCATTCTGTCCTCTTTCTGCATCAGTTTGCATTTGAAAAAGTACAGATTTCAGCATTTGGTCGCATTTCAGCCTTGGCAAGGTGAAAGTTGCCTGTTTTTTCCTCATATCGCCAGTCAAAAACAAACAATTAAATGCTGACTCTAGAGATGGTGGATGGGCTATTCCAGTGACATCACACTATCTCTGGCTATGCTCTATGTGGCCACTTAGCAGGGCAGAAAAAGGAAGTGTAGAGCAAATGGTACCACCTTGCTGACCTTGTTTGGGCTCAGAAAATAAGCAGGATCAGGACTGGTGAGTAGGGAAGTGAACATTCCAGTCCTGGATGCTTCTTTGTTGGAGTGTCCCATCTGTTCTGTTACCTGACATCTGGCTGGGACAATCCTGAGGATAGCTGATGTACTTTACACAATTGAAGTCATCTTCTGTTTTCTCTTTGCAAGCAGTGTGGTGTAGTGACTAAAGTATTAGAGTGGGGAGGCCCAGGTTCTAGTTCATTCTCAGCCACCGAAGCTTACTGGGAGACTTTGGGCCAGTCAACCCCATCTCATCACAGGGTGGTGCTGGGGAAAATAGATCTTATACTACACTTAGATATAAACACATACCAAATCAAAATACAGTGGTACCTTGGGTCACAAACTTAATTCGTTCCGCGACTCTGGTCGCAACCCGAATTGGTCGCGACCCGAATCA